GTCATTCATTCTCTTATCCAAGTAGTCATCATATTTTTTTTTTTAAAAAAAGTCAAAACCCCTATTTATTAGCAATGTTAACAGCCCATGGTGTCTACCTGGACTTTCAGATCACCTCATAGATTCTTCTCTGTGTGTTTCTGGAATTCCTTCTTCCCATGTATTGGGAATATTTCACTGTCTGAGGTCAAATGAGGATTAAGCTACACCTAATCAGTTTTAATATGGAACACAATTTAAATAGTTCAAACATGGGAACAGTTCAAAGTCCTATTTACCAATGTTGAACTGGGAACAACCATTTTATTGTAATTAAGGGGGCCTTATTGAATTTGAAAATATTAATCTATCTTTACTGATCAAATTGATCTATTCTTAATCTTTCAATGAATGGCCAATATTGTACAATTTCACTGTAGAAAAGGCTACCTTCTTCAAGGGTCTACAAATTAAACCTTCTTTCCCAATCTTGAAAGAGGTAGAAATTACTTTCCAAAGTTTTACACTTCCAGTTCCAGGCAGAGAGAATGGGAACTATAGAGTCACTGTCCTTGTAATTTTATGCTGTGCATATTGTGTGTTTGGAGGGATATTTTTGGGGTGGCACTCACCTGAATGGAAGCTGCTTTTGGACTGCTCAGGCCAATTCGGATTTATTTGGGCTGAAGGACTGTGTTGGAGGCAGTGCTTGCTGTCTTGTGGTGCCCTGACCATGTTTGACATGTTTGTGATCTTGGTGGCTCTTTTGAATTTGAGGGTGGCTTTTTTGGATTGGATTGGCTGCTCCTGAGGGATTTGTTATTTGGAAGACCTGTTCGGGCTGCTCTGGAGGACCGCTTGAGCTGTTTCTTGGAGGAGTGGGCTGAGAAGGAGGATGGAGGATGGGCCACACCAGAAGATGGGCAGCTTTCATCCTTTTGTTGTGGCTGCTGTACCAACTGCCATTTTGAACTTAGCAGTGCTGTGGAGATGGTCCTCCTTGTGCACCATCTGACTTGCTGGACACTGGGGCTTTGGAAGTGTGGGCGGTGGGTGAGTGGAAGGGGGGTTGCAGTAGAGTGGCAGACTACTGTGGACCCCTGTCTCCCACAGAGGCCTTTTTGCCTTCCCTCTGGTAGCCCCAAGGAGGAAGAAACACTGTGGCTTCCATCTAGTGGTGAAGTACCTGAGTGCCCCGACTGTGAGTTTCCCACTGTGGACTGAGTATTAACTTCTTCCTCTTTCTCCTTCCTCTGGGTGAGACCCAATGGTGGACTTGGTGGGTGGTGATTGGGAAGGGACCCTCTGCCAGCTGATTGGAGCAGCAGGGGAGGGGTGCCTTTGGTTGCTAGTGTGTGCGTGTGAGTATGAGTGTGTTGATTCCTTCTTCTGGGTGAGAGCCAGAAGAGGAATTGACAGAGGGTGGATGTGAAGGGAGCCCTCTACCTGCTACTGGAAGCAGCAGGGGAAGGGTCCCTGTGAATGCTAGTGTGTGTGAGTGTGTTATAGGGAAGTGGGGAGGTTGTTGCTGGGTACCCTGATGGGACTTAGAGCTAGTGAAGCTAAAATGACTCGAGGTGCCTGGATTCCTTTCCACGGGTGGCTGGAGAAGATAGTGGGAGATTCCCAATCTTGGGAATTGAGGAATCTGGATATGGGGATGGGTCTGCTATTAAGGGGATGGGGTAGGCCAAGGTATTATGGTGGTGATGGTCATGGGGAGATATGGTGGGAGATGGGGAGCAGTCCATTCTCAGGGAATGCAGGACTGTTGTTTTATACCAGGCTCATGTTCCAGCTCCTCGATCTCAGCCCTGGTAGCCTGTCAGCAGACCTTCAGAGGCCCTGGCTTTCAACTGCTGCTTTTGAATGCTAGGTTGCTCTTCATCAGGCCTCCCTCATTAGTGATTTAATCATTGATGACAGGGCCAACCTGGCATGCATCACCAGGACCTGGCTGGGTCCAGAAAGGGGAAGGGGTAGCCCTTTCAGAGATATACCCAGCTGGGTTTTGGGTGTGGCATCATCCAAGATTCCAGGGCAGGGGTGGAGTTGTGGCAATTGTCGTCTGGGAATCCCTTACGGCCTTCAGAGGCGTTGCATCACAGATCACCAGATGGGAGACCCTGTTCATTAAGTTGGGCTCTGGGGATCAGCTGGGACTGCTGCTGTTGTACCAGCCTCCCTGCTGCACAACAACCTCCCTGCCTAAGCTCCTTGACTCCATTTCTGGGCTGGCAGTAGAGTTCCCCAGAGTTATGCTTTGGGGAACTTTAATCTGCCATCTCTAGGAGTGGGGTCAGAGGTGGCTCAGGAGTTCATGGCCACCATGATGGCCATGGGCCTATCCCAGATCATCCAGAACCCGACACGGGACAGTGGATATACACTGGATCTGGTGTTCCTGTTGGAGCAGTGGCCATGTGGTCTGAAATTGGGGGAGGTTCTGGCTTGTCAGCCCCCTTGTCATGCCCTGATTACTATGGGATTGTCTAGTGCTGCTATCCACTGCAGGGAGGCTGGACTCATTAGACTGATCTACCCCCAGTGATAAATGGATCTGCATGGGTTCCAGAGGGAGTTGGGGGTTGCTTCTGCTGGTCTGCTGCACGGTCCATCCAAAGCCTTGGTCACTCCTTGGAATAAGGATGTGGCTGACGAATTGGATCAGATTGTGCCCATGAGACCTCTCCCCTCTCAAGGATCCCATTATTCTCTGTGGTTTACAGAAGAGCTGAGGGAATTGAAGTGAGAGAAGAGACATCTAGAGCATCAATGGCACTCAATGAGGGACAAAGTCAATCAAATATGGGTTAGAGCTGCCATTAAGGCCTACCTAATGGTGGTAAGGCTGGTGAAGCATCATTACTCCTTCACTCTTATTTCATATGCAGGCACTCCTGGATAAGGGTGGGCTGGAGAACTTTTTGCAGGGGCATGCAGAGGAATTTGCTCAGCATCTCTTGACAAAGTCACTCAGATTTGTTCTCAGTTTGATGCTGGCCTTCTTGCCGGTCCAGAGGAGACGCCTGGGGAGGAGTCTTGCCCTGTTAGCTGGGAACAATTTGAACTGGTTGGACCTGAGGAAGTGGACAGGACCCTTGGAGCTGTGAGCTCAGCCACCTGCTCTTTAGATCCATGCCCCTCCTGGCTGTTTAAAGAGCCCCAGGGGGAGTTGTGTGAGTGGGTTCTAACAATGGTTAATGTTTCCTTGAGTGAGGAAGTTGTTCCTTCATCTCTTAAGGATATTTTTTCAAGAAGCCATTACTGGACCCCACTATACTGGATAATTTCTGTCCAATACCTTTTTGGGGAAGGTGGTTGAGAAGGTGGTTGCACACAGCTTCAGAGAAACTTGGAAGAAGCAGATTATCTGGACACCTTTCAGTTGGGATTTAAACCTGGGTATGGGATGAAAACAGCATTGGTTGTGCTTTTGGATGATCTCTGGTGAGGGTGCAATGGGGGCTGTGCATCCATCTTTGCTCTATTTGACCTCTCTGCAGCTTCTGATACCATCAACCATGGTATCCTTCTGGATCTGCTTAGATGATTGGGGGGGTGGGGGTGGATAGTGCTGTGCTGGTTCACCTCCTTTCCTCAGAGCCAATTCCAGTTAGTGGTAGTTGGGAAGGAGAGATCCTGCCCTCAGACCTTACTGTGTGGGGTGCTGCAGGATTCAGTGCTCTTCCTTCTCCTATTTAACATCTACATGAGGCCACTAAGTGAGCTCATCCATCATCATGGGGTGAGGTATCATCAGTATGTTGATGATACCTAATTGTACATCTCTGCCCCTGGAGAATTAGGCGATGCTGTGAACATCTTATCCTGGTGCCTGGAGGCTATGAGGGAACATCTTATCCTGTGAGAGTAATGTCTTATCCTGGAAGACTGAGTGGCTTTGGGTTTTGGGGTTCTGGTTCAAGGACTATGCCATTTTTGTTGCTGGATGGGGTGACACTTCCTCAGTCAGACCTGGTGCACAATCTGGGGGTCCTCCTGGACTTATGACTCCTGCTCAAAAAGCAGGTAGGAGTCATGGCTAGGAAGGCCTTTGCACAGCTTTGTGTTGTGCACCAGTTGCCCCCATTCCTGGATCGGGGGGGGGGGATTCTGCTGACTGTCACCTCCCAATTGGACTTCTGTAATGTGTTCTACAAGGGGTTGCCCTTGAAGAGTATCCAGAAGCTTTAGCTGGGGAAAAATGCAGCAGCATGGGCAGTTATGTGTGCCCCTAGAATGGCACATGTTACACCTCTGCTGTGCAAGCTGCACTGGTTGCCAGTTTGCTTCTGGGTCCAATTCAAGGTGCTGGTTTTAAAACCCTTCATGGCATGAGGCTGGGTTATCTGAGGGACTGCCTCTCCCTGATTATATCTGCCTGTCTCACCAGATCTGGCAGAAGGTGTGCTGTGGGTCCTGTCCATCAGGGAAGTACACTTGGCAGGTCCCAGGAGATGGGCTTTCTCTGCCGTGATGCCCACCTTATAGAATCTTCTCCCCCTGGAAATGAGATTGGCTCCATCTCTCTTAACGTTCTGCAGGTCCCTTAGAACCTGGCTATGCCTTCATGCCTGCGGGTCCCAGGGGACTGGGGAGATCTTGTGATGGCTCCCTTACTGCAGCTAACATTATCCTTTTTTGCTGTTGTGTTTTTTAATGGTTTTTAAAAATGAATATTTTTTTAATATATTTATTGGCTTTTTAATTATGTGTTGCATGGTGCCGAGTCACTTTTTTGTGAGATGAGTGGCCATACAAATTTGATAAATAAATAAATAAAAAATGTTGGAGGCATAGCATGTTGGTGAGGGTCTGTCTTTACTTTTAACAAAGATTTTAACTCTAGTAAAGGGATTCTAAATAGTCCAGAAGTTCTGGTGTTAAACTGCAAGAGAGAAGCTCTATGTGCTGGATTCTGAGGCTACTCTTCTCTTCTTGAATGCCTTTGGGAATAAGGATGATGGTAGAGATCGTTCAGGTTTTAATGGTAAAATAAAGGGGTAATATAATACATACACACATCCTCAGGGATAAACCAAATGTATCTCTTCTCAAAACACTGCAAAACATTTTGTGCTTTACCACCCTGCTCCCATCCCAAGGTTTGCTCCAAAATTCCTCCCCAATAATTGAAACCCAAAAAAAGAAAGAAAGAAAGAAAGAAAGAAAGAAAGAAAGAAAGAAAGAAAGAAAGAAAGAAAGAAAGAAAGAAAGAAAGAAAAAGAGAGATTGTTCAGACCAATTTAAAATGCAGTGAAAAATAGAGACAACCAGCACAGTGCATTTTAACTGAATATGAGCATTTTGAAGATCAATATTAGCACATTTTAAAATAGCTGTCTGTCCATCTCAGCTTGATCCACTAAAAATTAGTTTTTCTGCTTATCTTATTTCAATTATTACAGTTGCCATCTTGGAAATGCATAAGATGTGTTATACATTTATTCTGTTTGAACATGTACTACAATATCAGACATAAACATTTACAATTTTGGTCCAGGCTATATAGTTCATGATAAAAGTGGTGCAAAGATTTACTAGTTAAAACACAATGATAAAGATAAGGACATGTTCTTCATCTCCCACATCCTCTTTAGTATTCAAATATATGGGGAACATATGGGGACTAATCCACTTTCTTTAATGCCAAAGCAACCGGCTCTTAACAGCTCCCAGGTATGGTTTGACATAAATTGAGGAGTTATTAAAAGTGTGCAGTTATTAAAGGCCTTGTTAAATATTTCAGAACAGTTTGAGCAATGATCATAACTCTTAGTTGAAGAATATGCCATCGTGTGCCATGTTTAACATGAATTGTGCATTTCGTTTTAGCTCACAGCTGTAAACAGCCAGAATCTCCAGCTCACACAAACGTTGCAGGAATGGATCTTCCTTCCCTCGGTTATACCTTGATATATACATGCCAACCAGGATTCTTCCTAGCAGGAGGATCAGAACACAGAGTCTGTAGATCTGATGGTACATGGACAGGAAAGGTTCCTTTCTGTGAAGGTAATTTATTTCATATCTTTCCTCTTCCTGAAAGAATTAATATTTCAAAGTTGCCATTCCTCTGTTTCTTTTCATTCCTATTTTCTTCCAGTATTAAGGATGGGAAAATTTGCTTTGCCCGTTATCAGGCAGAGTTTAGTTACCTAACTGATATATGAATCAAATGAATTTACTCATTTTGTATTTATATAAAAATATCTATCCACTCTTGTAATAGATATGCTGTACTCAGGACAATTAACAACTAACACCAGTAGAGAACTAAGGAGAAAAGAATGTGGTCTCCAGCATAGATTGCACAGAACGCTTTTCTTCTTTTTTGCATGTGAGAGAGACAAAAGTGAAATTGGTTTCATTCACTTAATCCAAATAACACTTCTGTTTTATTTCTGAACTCGACTTGTGCTTTTAGAACCTGGCTTGTTAATGTGCAATTATGTTTTAAAGTAGAAATTTTTGCTCTCTTCTCATTTTGATGGTAGGATGTTCACGAGATGATTGAACTGGCATACTGTATTTTATATTGTACCTTGAGGGAACCTTGGGATAAGAAACCTTGGGATGCAATCTAATTTTCATAATAACAATAACAATGATAATAATAATATCTGGATGACTGTGCGACCAACAATAATAATATCATTACACGAATGATGTAATTTGCATCATTTACGTAATGGCATTACCATAGTTTACATACTCTCCAATTTAACAGACATTTGGAAATCATGGTTTGTCAAATCACTGTGACTACAGAGTTTCTGTCTCTTAGAATAGTCAGTTCTACTCCATGGAATAGCCTGCTAGACACTCAGAGATTGCTTTTAGTAGCAAATATATATATATATATATATATATATATATATATATATATA